GCATTCCTGTTAAACTTTAGCTTGTAATAGACTTCAGAAGCAACAGAGGAATGGTGACCAGCGCCTGCCAGGTTTTAGTACTATAAGTGGGCTGCTTGAACAAAAGAAACCTTTATCACACAACTAGTTATGATGCATAGGGACATGGGTGGTGCTGTGGTGTAAACCACTGAGCCTCTTGAGCTTGCAAATCAGAAGGTTGGTGGTTCGAATCCCCGCAATGCAGTGAGCTCCCATTGCTCTGTCCCAGCTCCTGCCAACCTAGCAGTTCGAAAGCATTCCAGTACAAGTACTGCTGTGGCAGGAAGGTAAACAGCGTTTCCGTGCGCTCTGGTTTCCGTCACAGTGTTCCGTTGCACCAGAAAGGGTTTAGTCATGCTGGCCACATGACCTGGAAAGCTGTCTGTGGACAAACGCCAGCTCCCTCGGTCTACAAGGGAGATGAGCGCCACAACCACATAAGTAGCCTTTGACTGGACTAAACCGTCTAGGGGTCCTTTACCTTTACCTTTTACCTATGATGCTTACATGGCAGGTTAGCAACTTGGGCCAAATCTGGCCTATGGAAGGGTGCTAGTCTGAACCACTAAGAACTTGGTTCAGCTACTATTTCAAGAATAAAACTGGGTGGCAGAAGGAGAATTTGGCATGCTGCCATCAGCACTTTGGGGAAAGGGTGGGATAAAAGTGTGATAAACAGAATGTCGTCCCCGTCCCCCGCTGACAACCCAACAGAAGAATATGGCGACAGTGGAAGCGGCAGCAGCTGGAAGAGATGTGGTTCACTAGGGAAGAGCTGAAACTGAGTGTTAGAGCAGGTGCTTTGCATGCCAAAGGTTCCCGATTCAATCCCCAGCATCCTCACATAAGCGCTGGGATAAATCCCTGCCTGAAAGCCTCAAGAGTTGTCAGTCACTGTAGCTGATACTGAACCTACCCAACCTAAGATGAACTTATAATGTCTGGTTTCAAGAGATTTTTCAAATGCTTAACTCAGTCTTTTAGATAAGTCCATGAAGATACCAACAAAAGGTAAGTTCGGTGTTATTCACAATACTGAGAGATGCTAGTGGAATTGTAGATAAATGTTAATGAAGTTGTAGATGACAGGGTACTGGCTTTTTGCACCTGTTTCGCCCTGGCAGTCCATGTAATCAAGAGACCGCTGTTTGCCCCCGATGGGGCCCTTTTACTGGGGCTTGCAGGTAGCAAACTCCCAATATAGTTTTCCGGGCTTCTTCAGTGGTCTAATCTCAAAGTCTTGATTCGTATATTGTTATTCAATCTTATAGAGAATACTCTTTCTTGGCTTAAGATTAAGAGACTGATTAGGAAGCCGCTTGGAAAAGTTAGGTTGAGAATCTGGCACATCACCTGTCACCCATTCCCTTTCCCAGAAGTAATCTTCAGCAAGGATGCACACTTATGGTTGAAGTCTAGAAAACAGGATCAAATGTATGTGGTCTGAAGACGGAACACTAGCCACACAAATTCCTGGTGTAGGCAGTGGCACTAGCACCAGGAGGAAGAATCTCAGAATCATAGAATCGTAGAGTTGGAAGGGGCCCTGAGGTTCATCTAGTCCAATCCCTTGCAATGCAGGAACATGCGGCTGTCCCATACGGGGATCAAACCTGCAACCTTGGCCTTATCCGCTCCAGGTGCTAACCAACTGAGCCATTTTGTAAGAAGACACGCAGCTACATAGTTCTGCGCCCTAAGCTGCAGCTGAGCATCATTTCAGAAAAGAAAAGAAATCTAAAAGTCTGGAATTTGAAAGAGAACTTGAATTTAAGTCTTGAAATGTACATTTTGTTTTATTTTGTATTTAGTGTTTAGGGTGCAACTTTCCCCAAAGCATAGCTTTCCAGATACCTTCATACTCTAGTAGAATATGAATGAAGTGGCTGTTGTAAGCAAGTTCTCTTCAGTTCAATATTTTATTTAGTGCATTTTTAAGCCTGCCTTCCCCAGAGGAAGCGAGTGATGTTCTGTCCAGGCTCAAACCAAACCTAGGCCTGCTTGCTTTTGCAAGTTTGTTGTGTCACGGACCATGTCCTAAATAGCAGCTCAACAACCATCTCCTGTATGCATCTGGGATGAACAGACCGCACTTTGGCATTCAAGGGCACCCACTATGGTAGAAGGCATGCTAAGGTCAACGTTGCAAAATGTGCAGAACTCCCAATAATGCATTCATCTGGGGTTTGTCAGGAAGCAGTGAAAACAACAACAACAACCACCCAGATTCTTGCGTGCTGAGATTTCCATAAACATGAATGAAAAACAGGAGCTTTTCCAGGAAAAGAAAAACACTGATGGAACAGACTTACCAGGCGTCTTCTCTCCTCTTCTACCGCAATCAATAACCGGGCAAACTCCTTCAGTGACTGGGCTATGAGAGAAGAGGGCAGGGGTTGGAAACAACAAGGCAGAATGAATTAATGTTATATTGCAAAGTCATTGCTGGTCTTCATGCAAGGAGTAAGTGGCGCTTATGAATTCTTAAGGTTCCCCCTTGAGGTAGGGGAACGGCAGCAGTGAAACTGGATTAGATTTGTCATGCAGGACTATCCTCAAGAACCCTTTTTTAATCTACAGTGCAAGGCCCCAACCTCTCCCAAGAGGCAACAAATCCATCACAAATGGAAGCCTCCGGGAAGAGCCCCAGAAATCAAAAGTCAAATGCTCAACACTTCGAAAACCTGTTTCAGGAGGATAAGGCTGTCCTCCGTACAGTGTGAGGAGACGTTCCTTGGAAATGGTATACATGTTAAGTCTTGCCCTGGGAATGCCATAAAAAAGCAAAAACAAAAAAAGCCACAGTTTCCCTGCAGGGAGAATTCAAATTTTAAGCCTACATTTCTTCTTGTGTGAAAGGCAGGCATTCTGGGTCCTTGCCTGCGTGGTTTAGAGCAGGGGAACAGCTACTTGTTACAGCAGCCTTGACCAACCTAGTATGCTCCAGATGTTTTTTTTAACAGAATCATAGAATGGTATAATTGTCGGGTTTGAAGGGACCCTGAGGATCATCTAGTCAACCCTCTGCAATGCAGGAACAGGCAGCTGTCCCATACAGGGATCAAACCTGCAACCTTGCCATCAAGCAACTGAGCATGATAGAAGCTCTGCAAATTAGATCTCCTCCTTTTTGCAGATTAGGATTTTTTTTATTAAAGAGGGGAGACAGAATATACAGTGGGACCTCAGGTTAAGTACTTAATTCGTTCCAGAGGTCCGTTCTTAACCTGAAACTGTTCTTAACCGGAAGCACCACTTTAGCTAATGGGGCCTCCTGCTGCTGCTGCGCCGCTGAAGCACGATTTCTGTTCCCATCCTGAAGCAAAGTTCTTAACCTGAAGCATTATTTCTGGGTTAGCGGAGTCTGTAACCTGAAGCGCATGTAACCTGAAGCGTGTGTAACCTGAGGTACCACTGTAAATCGGGATGGATTTTGAAATGTTGGTTCAAATGACCATGCTCTAAGCAACTGAGCTATCCAGCTCCCATCAATCCCGGCTAACATGCTCATGGCTGGCGCTGATGGGAGTTGATGTCCCAAGCATAAGGAGGACACCAGGTTGATAACGGCTATAGTACAGAATATCTGCCATCCATGCAGTGGTAGGGAGGTGAACAACTCCCTAGGATAGGTACCATTTTCAGCGTTCTTCCGATACGTAACTCAAGTGATAGGTGCACCAGCAAAAATGGTACCAAGCGAGAGAAGACTCCCTGCCAAATGCTCCTGCCTGAATTTATTTGATTACTGCAAAGAAATAGCATCTAAGGAGAACGAGGCGGTTTCCGTCTCCTCGGCGGATATATTCTGGCCAAGAAAATATCATTTATATTCATTCTCTGAAGTGCGCAATCATCTGTTTTTCTAATCAAGAGGTGCTCTCTTCTGAGCGCTGAAGGATAAGGCCACATTCCATTCAGTGGTAGGCTGGCAACCCGCAGGAGTCGAGCACGAAGGATGGAAAACAACGCGCAAAACAGAATGACACATAAACCCAAGGGTGATTAAGTATCTCGATTAAGCTCTTTGCCTTGCTATTGTTGTTTCAAGAGCCTGTTGTTAGTCTGAGAGTGCCTAAAATCTACTAGTCACCCTAGCGAAACAAAAACTGAGGGCAATTCCAGCCCATTGGCACACAACATAAATTAGACAAAATAAGACACTGCAGGAAAATTAGGGGGGTCGGGATAGGAATGGCATGTCCGTTTCCTGGGTCAATTAAAGTAGAAATACAAACAGCAGACTGTCAGGGAAAAAAGAGGTTTCATGGGAAATTTAAAGAAAAAAAGAAAGCGTAAGAGCGAAATGAACAAGCGTAAAAACAGCAAGCAACGAAAAAGCTGGACCTCCAGATATTTCTGAACCACAACTCCCTCATCCCTGCTTGCTATGGCTGATGGGAGTTGTAGTTCTGCAACATCTGCCCTATCTTTTATTATAACTATGTCCAAGTATGTGCAATCAAAATAATTACATTCTTACACTGCCTATCATTCCGCCTTCCTCTATATCCAGGCATAGGCAAACTTGGCCCTCCAGATGTCTTGGGACTAAAACTCCCATCATTCCTAGCTAACAGGACCAGTGGTCAGGGATGATGGGAGTTGTAGTCCCAAAACATATGGCGGGCTGAGTTTGCCTATGCCATATCTGTTCTTGGACCGACACCATCTACACAGGTGGTGGTGTATACTAAATTCTAGAGCATGCACAAACCCATGAGACAGATGGCTGAAAGAGTCCTTTAGTATTTGCCTCAGGTTCTGGATGCTTGCTAAAGCCAGATTCTAGGTGTAAGAACCACTTCGATATTTGGGAAAGGGCAGCATCTCACATGTTCTGTGCGCGAAAAGCTCCAAGGTTCAATTCCTGGCATTTGCAGGTAGGGCTGGGAACAATTGTCCGAAATCTTGGGAGTGCTTCTGTCAGCAGGCTATATTAAATCAGATGGACCAATTGGCTGACTTCTCTACGTAGAACCAAGATGGTTCAATTGGTAGAGCATGAGACTCTTCATCTCTGGGTCATGGGTTTGAGCCCCTCATTGGGCAAAAGATACCTGCATTCCTGCATGACCCTTGTGGACTACATGACCCTTGTGGTCCCTTCCAACTCTACAATTCTGTGGTTCTATAAAGCAGCTTAATGGGCTCCTAACTTGCAAATCCATGGGATTGCAGCATGAGTGGCTTTTCCTTAATGTCACACTACAAGAAGAGAAAGAACCAAACAGAAATCTGCCTCTTATCCCATAACAGATATACCGTACTTTTCAGTGTATAAGACGAGATTTTTAAAATTAAAAATAAAGGTCTAAAATTGGGGGTCATCTTATATACGGATAGTGCATAGTGGGGACGGGAGATTGGTGGCAGCCACAAGCAGAAGATTGTCAGCGGTGTTTGGGCGGGTGATTGTTGGCTGCAGCAAGGCGATTGGCTGCTGCTGCGGCAATTGGGCAGGCGATTTTCGGCTGCTTGCGGCAGACGACTGGTGTTTTTGGCCATGCGTGCGATTGTCAGCGGCTGTCAGGCGGGTGAGTGATTGTTGGCAATCCCCCCCCCCCCCCGCAAAGAAAGCTCAACAACTCTGGGCAATTTCCCCCCATTTCCTTAATTGGGAGTTCCCAAAAAGAGGAGGTGTCTTATACACGGAGGCGTGTTATACCAGGAAAAGTACGGTAATCCTGCAGCATACACAGAAACCGGAACAACGCCCCTGTTAGGAAAGGTCAGAATGTTTGGGAAGCAGGGAAAGGAAATTTAAGAGAAGTGGAGGAATAGAGAGGCCGCTCCCTTCTCTTATTAATACAAGAATTTGGAGTCAGATGAAGCTCAGTGGTGGCTCCAGCAACAGGAAACACTTCTTAACACAGCGGATAGTAAAACTAGTTATGGAATTTGCTGGTGGCAACTACCTGGTGCTGCTTTAAAAGTGGGGTTAGACCATTTCATGTAGGAAGAAAGCTATCAGTGGCTACTAGTCATCTGCCACCAGGACTGGAAGCACACATCTGAATACTGGGGAACAACTACAGGAGAGGTCTCCTGTCTTCATGCTCTGCTAACATTCTTCCCAGGTCCATCTGCTTGGCTACTGGGCAAAACAAGGTGCTGGTCTACACAGACCTTTGATTAGACCAAAGAGGCCTTTAAATAGTGTGGCTGCACAGCCAAAGGCTCCTCCATCATGCAACGTCTCAATTCAGCCACAAACCAATATGCTATACTTGTAATACCAACCAGTTAGCACGCTCACGTATTGAGGAAACACATGAATTTCAAAATCGAAAACCAGCAGATTTATTTGAACTGCTTGTTTTATTGGCAACGTAAAATCAAAAATTTTGGTCCAGAGTCTCCTAGCTTGGTTAGTCCCAGGACCTACATTCAATCCTGAGCTACAACCTCTTAGAATTTACTTTTTCTGCCCCCATTTCTCCTCCTGTCTTCAAGGATTACCATATACAGTGGTACCTCAGGTTACAGATGCTTCAGGTTACAGACTCTGCTAACCCAGAAATAGTACCTTGGGTTAAGAACTTTGCTTCAGGATTAGAACAGAAATTGCACAGCAGCAGTGGGAGGCCCCATTAACTAAAGTGGTACCTCAGGTTAAGAACAGTTTCAGGTTAAGGACGGACCTCCAGAACAAATTAAGTTCTTAACCCGAGGTACCACTGTACAAAGGAGGGCAGGTCTCCTGTGTTTTTGTAGTTATAGAGAAGAGGGAATTTTGGAAAATGCACCTTGTTCTGCATGGATGAGACCATGAGACTCCACAAAGTATTTTGCATCTGCTATAAATAAAGGACTCTGTCAACGTTCCTATCTGACCCCCATTTATCTCTGCCTTTTATGCTATTTTGGAAGAAAGTCAAGCACATGAAAAGGGAGATCATGGTGGTGCCACTGGTGTGATCCAGCTGAGGTTAAGGCACATCAGGAGTCTTGACCCACCAGTTGAAGAACCACGATTCAAGTCCTCTTGATATTTAAAAAATCCATCCACTCTGGTATGGAAAGGGTCAAGGGAACAAAGGCAGGTTTTATCAGAAAAATAAACATTACAGGAGCTCAACGCATTTCTGGGAAGCCTCTTTGGGAACAACATTTAATTTCCGAATAAAATATGGAACAAATGCTATGATGTGGGAGTCTGATGATCACAACAAGGGGAAAATTGGGGGTAAATGAAAACAAGATAAAATGGTAAGTCAAAAAACAGAAACGGGGAGGAAATGTTTCAGAAATTTATGCAGCAAATATTTGGACAGGCTGGCTTTTTTGCTTTCCAAAACGGGGGTGGAAGAATGAGACAATGAAAGAGAGACAGACAGACAGACAGACAGACAGACAGACCGAACTTGCATGAACTTCTACATTGTGTTGCAACACTGGTGATTTAGAAAACAGCTCCTCTTATACTTTGCAAGCATAACCATTAATTCTTTACCAGCAATTATTTTGCATTTTACACAGGAACACTGCATCTAAATGTTATTGAGGGACCGTTAGGTAAAGGAGTGCCTGTTAGACTCGGGTGTTCAAACGGTCCCAGCAGCTTAAGTCAGGTCCGTATGTCTTAAGTTTCAGACTGCTTACTACAATGGATGCTTTGATGGTATGTCAATCGAGACCCTCAGCTTGCCTATGTGGGAAAGCGTGTTCTCCTTCATGGAGAGCACGTGTTGCGGTGGGGGCCGCCAGGACACTCCAAAGTTGGGGGCGGGCTAATTGATCATTGGCCACTGATGCGATTGGGGCTTCCCTTGTTGTTGGGAAGAAGTTAATGTTGCCATTTGTTGATTGACAGCTAGAAATGCTAAAACTCCTTGCACGAGGCTAGGGCTTCCTCTTTTCCCCCGTGCATCAGATTGCCCGTCCCTCCCTCCCTAGAATAGGGTTGTTTGCTTTGACCTTGCTATGCCTGTCATGGGGTCGTCTGCTCTTGGGGCAGGGGCCCGGTAGGAATTTTGTCAATCTGGCTGATTGGCTGGGGCCATTTGGTTTTTGCCTACTGCGTAGCAAATCGTCACAACTTGTAAGGTTGCGGTTAGGCATTGGTTTATGGTTTGGTTGGTTGAGGGGCATGGATTGGCTGTGCCTGCCCCTCTAATGCTGCTGCTGCAAGGGATTCCGTTAAAGGAATCGGGGCTAACTATTGCTTGTCCACTCTGTCAAGGGGGCTCGGGCCATAGCAATGAGCTCCTGGTTGCATTTGGGGTGAGGGCAGGTTCCCTGCTCCGTCGCTACCCCCAAGTGTATTCCCCTTTTCTGACTTTCGCATCGTGCGGAATGTCAGTCTGTCCCCCATGGTGGGGACAGATAGTCGCAACCAATGCCTAACCACTCGCATTCTTGTATTTTAATAAAGCTGTGGCCAAAATTATGCCAAAAACCTTAAACAAAAAATTCTGTGTGATGTGTGAGTTATTGGGGTGGCCCTGGGGACCTCGACACGCAACCCCCAGGTCCACCAAGCATGCAAAATACACCCTTTTTTGATAACAACCCACCCCCTCAGGCCCCCGGCCAATTTCCACAACACTTATCCCCAGTTCTGTAATTCTGAACTTTAAACTCCACCAATGTTGAATCCTTAACCAATGTGCGAATGGTAAACATAAAGTATGGTCTAATAAATCACCCGTTGTAAAATTACAGACCACACCAGCATTATCATCACCATCATTATTATCAGGACTAGTAAATCTGACATTAGCTCAGATATACAATTCACGCTGGACCAACTTTTAATATTTTCAAATGGCAGGCGCCATACGCATTTGCGGTAAAGATGGTAAGGAACATATTGTTTGCATTTTCATTCATATTCAGGCAAGCACTTTGTAAAACAGTTGAGTTTCTTGTAAAGTCAGCTAGACAAAATGCTTCCAGATTATATCGCTGTGGAAACAAGTCGGTTTTAACCACAGCATGATTTGGTACTCGTCATGCAAGTTGCACTTTTACTTGTGGGTGTTGCCACCAGCTTCTAGTTGTTTCCTAACCATTTATTCGGTGACAAAGACGTCACCTAGGAAGGTTGGAGCAATCACTGTTTGCTCTCGCTCTCTCCCTCTTCCCACCTCTACACATTTATTTCTGAGTCACAACTTTTCAAAGTTCACGAACACATACCTAAGCAAGACATCAGACAGGTTGATCAATCTTGGGGAGCCTTGGTCAATCCTGCGGATGCATTCACCATGTGCCTTGGCCTACTTCTCAAGCTTTCCAATCCAACCTGGGCAATCCATGCTGGAGACATGAGGACCCGTCTTTGCTGTACCCTAAGGTTGGCGCTGTGGGTTAAACCACAGAGCCTAGGACTTGCCGATCAGAAGGTTGGCGGTTCAAATCCCTGTGACGGGGTGAGCTCCCCATTGCTCGGTCTCTGCTCCTGCCAACCTAGCAGTTTGAAAGCATGTCAAAGTGCAAGTAGATAAATAGGTACCACTCCGGCGGGAAGGTAAACGGCATTTCCGTGCGCTGCTCTGGTTCACCAGAAGTGGCTTAGTCATGCTGGCCACATGACTAAGCTGTACGCCAGCTCCCTTGGCCACTAAAGCGAGATGAGTGCCACAACCCCAGAGTCGGCCGCGAATGGACCTAATGGTCAGGGGTCCTTTACCTTTACTAAGAACAGTACAGTGGTACCTCGGAAGTTGAACTGAATCCATTCCAGAAGTCCGTTCAACTTCCAAAACATTCGGAATCCAAGGCGTGGTTACTAATTGGCGGCAGGAAGCTCCTGCAGCCAATCAGAAGCCAGAGAAGTCACGACGGATGTTCAGGTTCCAAAGAACATTCGAAAACAGAAACAATCACTTCCAGTTTTTGACTGTTCAGGAGCCAAACCTTTGACTCCCAAGGCATTTGAAAACCAAGGTACAACTGTATTAGGCAGATGAAGTTGGGACCTAAAGTGCAGCTCGGTATAAAGAGGTGTGGGATGGAGCTATTAATGATATATTAGTATGTGCCATCATGGTAAGACAGGGAAATGATAAATGCAGGAGAAATGATTCTGAGGAGATGTGGTGGGT